AATTTAGATTGTACAATAAAAAAGAACCCTCCCATCCCATAACCCACCCATCTCATAACCCACCTAACATGGGGCTATGGTTATTACATAAAAGAAATCCGCATCTTTCTGAAGAAAATTTCACCTGTCCTTTTGTTCCTTAGCTAGACCGCTATTATTTAATGAAAGAAAAATGTGAAAATAAGCTTACTTTTTCCATGACAGGTTAAGCTCCAGGAATTTCTTGGAAGAAAAGAGCTGGACAAACACCTAGATGCTGATGAAGCAATTGTTCTTGGTGCAGCCCTCCATGCTGCATATTTAAGTGATGGAATCAAATTGAATAGTAAGCTAGGAATGACAGATGGTTCTTCGGATGGATTCATTATTGAATTAGATGGACCTGATCTTTTGAAAAACGATAGCAACAAGCAGTTACTTGTTCCACGGATGAAGAAACTCCCAAGTAAGTTAAAAGATGTTATCTGAAATTGATAGAAATGGAAGTGGATGCATTTCCTTTCTAGTTTTGCTATTGGTGGTGTCTAATTTCTTTATGGACAGATGTTCAGGACCATCATCCATAATAAAGATTTTGGAGTTTCACTTGCCTATGAAAGTGACGATCTTTTACCACCTGGTCTTTTGTACCCTGTGTTTGCTCAGTATGTTGTGTCTGGTTTGGCAGAAGCATCTGAGAAGTAAGTATTTTATGTTGATTTCTTTAGTCTTATTGCTTTAGAGAACTTGTTACTTTCTTCTTCATTAGCATGCAAATAATGCATGATATGGTTTTCCTTGCCAATCTGTGTGTTCTCTAGGTATTCATCTCACAATTTATCTGCACCTATCAAAACAAACCTACACTTTTCACTTAGTAGAAGTGGAATCATTTCTTTAGATCGAGCAGATGCTGTTATTGAAATATCAGAGTGGGTGGAAGTTCCTAGAAAGAATTCGTCAGTAGAGAATGCAACTACTGCTTCATCTAACATATCTGCTGAAGTTGGTCCCGAAAAGGCATCAGAAGAAAATAAAGAAGGCTTAAATTCTGATAGTGTGGTGAGCAGTGCATCTAACACTAACACTACTGCCGAAGAACCAAGCACAGTTGATCTTGGTACAGAGAAAAGGCTGACAAAAAAAAATTTAGAGTGCCACTCAAGGTGTGAAAAAGCTACCTTAAAACTAATTTATAAATGACAGTTGTTATGTTTTTTGTCTTTACATCGTCATTTTTATTGAAAGTTTATCGTTTCTTCTTTTGATTGTAGATAGTGGAGAAAACAGCGGGACCTGGAATGTCTCTATTGAAAGAGTCTCTTGTTGAAGCCAAAGGTAAATTGGAGGCACTGGACAAGAAGGATGCTGAACGGAGAAAAACAGCGGAATTAAAAAATAATCTTGAAAGCTATATCTATGCTACAAAAGAAAAGGTACATATTT